GAATCTTAATCCTTTATTTTTGTAAAGAGTTGCGTCGTCCATTATCCATACAGCTAAGGCAAAGGTTAGGTAAGCTTATATTTCATACTCTCGTGGAAGAAAGGTAATACTATGCGATATGTAATAGCAGATAAGCAAGGTGTGATCAAATTAACTCATATGATGAATGGATCTTTCAGAACAGAACACCTAAAATACAAACTTTCCATAGATTAATTGACTGGCTAAATACTTCGAAGTATCTCTTCTTACTTCTATCCGACACAATGCCAAATTTTCTTCTTCTGCTAAATCTTACTATTTTAGCGCAGAATCACCTCACAAATTAAGCAAAGAAATCGCTTACCTTGAAAAGTATACATTAATCGGCATTAAAGCTTTAGATTATAGAGATTTTGCCTTTGTCTATCAAATGATCCCCCCGGCCTGAGGACCCAGGGCCCTCAGTCCTGGGCCGAGGGTGGCAAAAGAGCATCTTACTGACAAGGGTAGGGAAAATATCAAACCAATTGTAACTGGTATGAGTAACCGTCAATTTATTATTGAAATATTCTGTTCAAACTTGATTCATGAGTAAAGTCTTATGAGAATGCATAGATCCTGCCATAAAGATATAGTCCATCCCCCATATGAAAGTTAGGGGGTAGTCTTGACATTCCTAGGACACCATACTCTTCGTGTCCAACGGGGCCTAATATTAGGTGTTATCCTCTTCATTGTGTCCGAGTGCTTTTTCTTCTTGTCTATCTTTTGGGCCTTCTTTGATGCCGCTTTAGCGCCTACGGTGGAGCTAGGTTGTGCATGGCCTCCGGCTGGTATTCAGCCTATAGATCCTTGGGAATGGCCTCTTGTAAACACCATACTCTTACTATCTTCAGGTGTTCGCCTGAAATGTAATCAATCTGATTTATTTGTGTTATTTAGCTTACTGCCATTTAACTGTCCCAGAGTTCCGTCCACAAAAAGAATTGGTCCCCATAATTATGAGATAATTTGTATCCTTATAGGATCATTGCTAGGTGATGGATCTATGGAAAAAGATGGTAATGGTTCACGGTTTGCTTTTTATCAAGAAAAAACAAATGGCGAATACTTATTATGGCTACATCAAGTTATTAGTTCTCTTGGTTACTGTAAACCAGAGATACCTGTCATACAAACTAGAAAAGGAACAAATGGACAAATACGCTACTTTTATAGATTCAGAACTTATACATACAGTTCATTTAATTGGATTTATGAGGAATTTTACCCTAATAAACGGAAAGTTGTCCCTCAGATTATAGATCAGTATTTATCACCTTTGGCCTTAGCTGTATGGATAATGGACGACGCAACTCTTTACAAAAATAAAGGATTAAGATTCTGCACTAATAGTTTCACACTTAAAGAGGTCCAATATTTAGCTAGTGTTCTAGAAAAGAAGTATTCTCTAAATACCTCTATACATAAAACAGGTGTAGTAAATCAATATGGTTTATATATTCCTAAGTCTAGTATGGCAGATCTCACTAAAATAGTTAAACCTCATATTCATCCTACCATGCTTTATAAATTACCTTCTATTTAATTCCGACATTTCTTGTGACATAATGAGTCTTTCCATTGATTTTCTAAATCAAATAATCAGATAGATTGCATAGTCCTAGATTAATTGGGTAATATAAATCGATTGATCCTCCATCAATCTTAATTATGCTCTATTGTCCAGCTAATCTAGCTTTATAGGAGATAGGATAATAACTATCTCGGCGACATTGATGAAAACGGTCAACGGGATATATCTGATTCTAAGACCGTCGGTTCTCTTCTTTGAATAAAAGAGGATGATCGCTACAGACTGGTTCATCGATGGGTGTCTTCAAAGATGCTTAATGTACAGTCGGAATCTCGAAAGAGAAGGTTTAAATAGATTGACTTATCTTTCCAAAGGCTTTATATTAAACTTCAAACAACTAGTGTGACTTCTAGAAGACTAAACTAGCTAAGTTTAGGGATTGAAAACTTACATTAATATAAAGTACAAGGGTTATATATTCAGATATGTAATAATATATAGCTGGAGATTTGGCTACTGCAACCTGGTCTCATCACGCTCTAATAGCCGGAGACCGAAAAGACGCCCTACTGGGGCTTGCTTGCACTCTGGTTCTTGCTCTTATTTTCACGGGGATTCAGCTGTATGAGTACTATGAAGCATCCTTTACTATCTCGGACGGAGCCTTCGGAAGCGCTTTCTTCTTTGGTACTGGGATGCATGGGCTGCACGTTTTGATAGGTACTATATTCCTTACCGTTTGTTTCTATCGTCTTATCAATTATCATCTCACTAAGCACCATCATGTAGGATTCGAAGGCGGCCTACTTTATTGGCAAAGAAATGCCGTAATAGAAGGAAACTTATATTATTACCACTCTACCATATGCGGGAAACTCCTAAAGGCGTAGGTAGGCACTGTTGCTGCATATGTATGCCGCAGTCGCCTAACAATCCTGACGTATGTAACAATGGACAATCCGCAGGAAACCAAAGTTTAGGGTTCCCCAGAGACTAATACGTAGAGCATCCTATTAGACAGGGATGAAGATAGAGTCCGACCGTTTCTTAAAGGATTCGGATCTTTTGATTTTGTAGACTTTGTCTGGATCATACTTTACATCTTCTTTTACCACTTTGGAGGCGGTGAACCTCCTATTATAAAAAATTCCCCCTGGCCGTAGGTCAGGCTGAGCAAAAGACCTTAGACCCTGGAAAGATGACCCTAGCTGAAGGCCTAAAGCTTCTGGACCAATACACACGAGATTTCCAAAAAGACCCCAGCAAATATACTCAGGGTATAGACCCCCCAACAATTAGGGAGCTGGCTGCAGGTTTGTTCCAAGCTGAGGGTACAATAGGTGTATGCTTTCAATCGAAATCCTCTTGGCGATAAGGGTGAAAAGGGGGACAAAGGTGATAAGGGGGATCAAGGCGATCAAGGGCCACAAGGTGAAAAAGGTGATAAAGGTGAAAAAGGGGATCCTGGCAAAGACGGTAAAGATGGCAAAGGCGGCAAGGAATGGGCTGGCTTAAAAGACGATGTAGATAAAGCACAAAAGAGAGCCGATGAAGCTTATGATTATGCCGCGGGTAACTATCAAATGATTCTCGCTACGGATACGGTGGTTGCTGGATTAACAGCTGGTGCTGCGGTGATGGCTGCTAATATTGCTGCATTAGATGCGAATGTCGCCGCCTTAGATGGTAACTGCTTTGGATGGTAGTGTTGTTACTTTGCAAGGTGAAATGACAGCCGCACAAGGAAGTATTACTGCGCTTGATACACGTGTTGTCGCTAATCGAAATGATATTGGTACCGTTGAAAATAGTCTTAAAAATGTTAAACAAGACTTTAAAGGGGAAGAATACTTCCCACGCTTTAATTCTCCTGATAGCAGCATATCTTTTGAACAGTCAAACACGAACGATCCACGGGTTTTTTATGTTCGGGTGAAAGGGGCTGGTGCTAATTTAGCAATTGTATCTGGTGATAATACGATATTAGTTCATCCGCAAGAAGACCAAGAACAAAAAGTATTTGATATCCGTGCTAATTTATTAAAAACAGTGCCTGGCGTAACTTCACGCGATAAAGTGTTACTGTTGTTCCGAAAGAAAACCATGATGGCGGGGTTGACTATGATTTATCAGTACAAAAGCACGAAAATGTATTAATTACTTCGCAAGATAAATCGGTAAGCGTAAAGCGTGGCTCAAATAATCCCGATGAGATAGGCTACGAGCATTGAGATTTAGGTGTTGATTGAAGCAAAGCACCTCAACAAGGTGATAAAACTGCTCTATTTTGCCCAGACAAAACCTTAAAAATAATCCGTGCTTCCAACGATAAAAATGACTCCCAATACTATAATTGGTTGCTAAAAGTAAATAAGATAAATTGGTGAAAGCAACGATCATTTTTCCAGGCAAGGACAAATCAATAAAGGTCGTAAAAGAACCAGAAAAAGAAACTACGGACTATATTTTGAGTGTTGATTGGGACAAGAACCCACATAAAGGAGGCGATAATACTAATTTACACTCCTCCGATAAAACGATTCTTGTTCATAGAGCTTCGGACAATAAGGAAAGAAGAATATTGCCAAAGAGCAATTCCAACTTACCAGCTAATCTTATTTACCTTGAATAGTAGGAGGCATAGCGCTAACTACAACACAACCAGCCAAACGGCATCAACAAAATGTTAGGTTATTTACTTGTTGAGTTTGCTTAAAAGTTGAGATATAGTGACATAGTCCCCTTGGGATTTGACTTTCTTAGCTAAAATGCTAACAACGGTTCTCCAAGAAGGTAGTTTTGAAGCTTAAAGGAAAGCAGAGGGTAGCTATCAAAATGTGGAAAAATAGAAGAGGAAATAGCTTTGACAGATCCGCACATAAGCGTGAAGCTTTCTTGTTACTATGGGGATGCACGTTGCCAACACCAAAAAACTCTTGGATAAGATTAAGTAAATGTAAATCTCGATTGTGCTGAGTCAGCTCGAATAAGGGTTGAAAAGAAATCCCAAAGGAGCCAGAAGAAGATCTACGTTGAGAGACGGTAAAGCAGCCTTCACCATCACAGAAGCCAGATAACCAAGAAGGCTCAATCTGCACAACGCAGAAAGGACCAGGACACACCTCCAGGGACAATTGGGACAAGGCCGGACAAGAGCCAACAAGGCGACAAGGGTTGGCTCAACGGACCTGGGGACAATTGGGACAAGGCCTCGGCCTCGATGGTTGACCGAACAGGGGACAATGGACTTCGTCCAACTATAAAACCTTCAATTAGTTTCATCCTCACTATTGGCTAATATTCTTTCGACACAATTTAAAGCTTCTTGGTGCCATTCTTAAATAGAGGTTTTCTTTAGCTAATTTAATGGCTTTGTTATTAGTGTCTGTAAAGTTATAGGTTTGCCTTTGTCTCATGATGTACCATCATTCTGTTTAATAGTTAAGTGAAGTTTTGAGGGTAGCTGCACTTTGACACCCTCCTTTGGTCCCCTTCTCTCCGATAAGGATCACCTGCTTTGTGGCTTCTTCCTGGCTTCTGATGATAGGGGTCATGGTAGTCCAGTTACCACCATATAAAGATGGATCCAAACTCTTGCTCTTAATTCAAAATTCTACTTAGAAGTAATTGGTGTAAACACATTACCAAAAACATGCTTACTGTATTGCTACTAACTCCACTTATCGGGGTTGCCGGTATCATCCTGGGATGCTCTAATGAAAGACAGAGTAAACAAGTAGCTCTACTAGCTTCATTAGCTAACTTTGCACTATCCCTAGTGCTCTGGGGTGAGTATGACGGCAATTGCGGCCACTTTCAGTTTGTCCAAGATTGGAGTAGTGTTACGTTCTGTCACTTTATTATAGGGCTCGATGGTCTCTCTCTGTTCTTCGTGCTTCTGACTACCTTCATAATTCCTTCTTGTATCCTTGGTACCCCCGCCCTACCCAGGATCCCCTCAAATACGGCCAATATTCCCGCTGTCAAATCTTTCCTGATAGCGCTACTGGTGGTAGAGACGCTCCTGATCGCTCTGTTCGTGGTGCTTGACCTGCTGCTG